CTTCCTTCCTTCCTTCCTTCAGCAAGCATTTATTCATGACTACTATGTGCCAGAACTTGCTTTCAGCAATGAGGATCCAGCAGCTACTACCTTCCTGGAGCTTATATTCTAGAAAGGAGAGAAATAATCAATGCTAAGGCAGGTCAGGAGGATAAAAACAACCGAGCAGATTATGATATTTTAAGTAGGGCGTGAGGGTGAGTGAAGGCTACTTTGAAGAGGTGACCTGAGCAGAGACCTGGATATAGGGAACAGAACATGCAAAGTGGTGTGGAAGAGCTTTCCTAGCAAAAGACTTTACATTTTCCCAGTGTAAAGACTTTGAAATGAGAGCATGTTTGAATGCTTCCAGAAGAGTAAGAAGGTCATTATGGTGGGAGGGAAATGAGAAAGGGATAGGAGTGGAAGAAAGCCAGGGCCCTGATCTCAAAGAATCTTGTAAAGATTTATGTTCAATTTTATTGTAAGGGTGGTGGGAATTTATTAGACTGCTGGAGGCAGTATAGTATGTTTTTATTTACATTTTTAAAGGACAATTCTCGCTGATCTGTGGAGAATGGTCAGAAAAGGGGTAAGAGCAGAGGAGGGAGATGAATTAGCAGGCTACTTCACAGGATTCATTGCTGTACAGAGCTCAGAGGGTAATAATGAAGATCATAGACATGGTTGATAAATGACAATTTTTAAAGATATTTCTGGCAAGACGCTTCAGGAATGTTAAGAAGAAAAACCAAGATGATTTCTAAGTTTTATGTTATTTGAATGAATTATTTTAGATCAGAATAGAATATGCAGCAAAAAATGGGCTGCATCTAATTAGTGATAGCAAAATATACGACTTGGAATCGAGAATAAAGAATCTGCAGAGTAGCAGCTGTGCAGTTTGTACACAGAGAACTGCTGGTCAAGAGCTAGGAAAGACATACCTGCTAGAGCAATGGGCTGGTTACTGTGGCTCTGAGGAGCCAGTCATCTCTGCTGCAAAAATCAGCCCAGTGCCAGGGAGGGAAGGTGGAAGTGTGTGCGTGTATGTGTGTGTGTGTGTGTGGATGTGTGCGTGCGTGCATGTGTGTGCGTGATGGTGGGATGGTGTGAAGGAGACAGCAGATCCAATTAGAAGCTTAAGATAGAAGAGAAGCAACAACTCCTGAGAACTCAGTGAGTATGGGAATTCAGAAGATGACTCCAGACATTTAGACCTGTTCTGCTTCCTCCTCACTTCTTTAGAAGCCCCAAGGCACCACAAGTTAGGGAGAGAAAAGGAAGATGGGCCTCCAGAACTGAGAAACTCAGCCAGCACTGAGGGCATGAGAAGGAAGGAGGGGAGAGAAGTAAGTCTCAAGCCCTGAAAGAAATCTAGAAATGCTAAGAATAAATTTCTAAAATGGAGGAAAGGAAAAGGAATAGAAATTAAGGTGGTTTCCATGCATACCCCTCTCATTTTGGATTCTGCTCTCACTAACGAGGACCAAAGCCCTGAGAAGACCCCCAAAAGTCAATAAACATAATGCTTGATCTGGTCTGAAAATGATTAAGGAATGACCAAGTCAGCATACTGAGAGACAAGAAAAGGCAAACTCCAGCTGACATACTTGGGGTAGGCAGTGAGAGGCTAGAGCGGACACAGACTAAAGCCTGAGTCATGTTGACATCCCCCATGGGTTCCTACTTTAGGCACTCTAGTGAAAAGATTCTTCAGACACTTTCAACATCTAGAACATCTCTTATAAATGACTCAGCCCTGGAGCTCAGCCCGTGTCAGAGCAACACATTGTACACTATGTCAGACAACTCTGCAGCGGGTGAGAGAGGAGTAATTATAATCTGCAAATCCTGATGACATTCACAACACCCCGATCTATATTTAATAATAGCAAAAAGTGTTTGCATTAACAGCTATTAGGCAATTTGCTCTTGGAGGCAGGTTCTTTCCTCTCTTCTTCTTAGCAGCAATAAAGCATAATAAAAATATAAAAACAAGGCTTTGTGAATTTTAGAGTGATTTCCTTTTAAGAGGTGCTCGTAGCATCATAAACTATCATATGACAGCTGGGGAGGTCTGGATGAATCTTCAAATCCAAAAGTGAAATAAAGGGGAAAAGATTCCAAGTACGATATGCCTGTTCTCCCATGGCTTCTAGAAACTAATGGGAGGTATGATGAAAGAAACGCTGTTCCTTTTGTGTATTTCACATTTCTGATTTTGCTGTCCAAATATTTATGCTCATTGTACTTACTAAACGTTACCAAATCCTGCCTCCTCCTTCCTCTGCCATTGCCATTTGTCCAGTTCTCTCTGGCATGGGGTAATATCACAGCCTTCTAGCTGGTCTCCTCACTCAGCGGGGTTCCCATCAAGCCCGTGCTCCACAAATCTCACATCTCTCCCCCGTGGTAACTCTTTCATTTACAGGTTGAGGTGCTCGCTTCTCAGACATAAGTTCCCTATGTCTATTTTCTTCAGCTGTCATCTTTTGACATCCCCTGATGCATCACTTTATGCGAGCCTGCATAAATAGCTTTTAATGTCCCCTCCTCCTCCCCCACCACATACACACCGTTCGGATGCTCAAGTCATCACCTTTGCCAAAAATTTTTTCCTTCCTCTGGCTTCTTTTTTACCCCTTTTGCTTGAAAAACTACTAATCCCATATCAAGACTCAGTTCAGCCACTGATACCTGCAGGGAGCATCCTGATGCTCCTTCCAGGCCTCTGGCAACACTCTGCTCAACTTACTGTGGCTATCACAAAAGTGTCATTACTGTCTGTCCCCTTGTCACCCTTCCTCCATAGACAAGGTCTTATGGTCTTTGCTGTCCTACTTAGGTTCCTGGCTCATGTTTTTCAGTTAATGAACTTGTATGTATAAATGTAGATCATTTATTACCTATGTTGCTCATCTGACAGTTTGTCCCATAGCATCTCTTGTATTATTGTTATTTAACTTTTGATGTGCTTATGTACTCCACCTCCCTTCAAGAATCAAATTTCTTAAGGACATAGGCCTCTGAATTCCCCACAGCACAGTGTCTGATATATATTAATAATAGATATTTACTTATTTTAGACTAGTGTGAGGTCAGATACCTGCCTGGCTTTCAAACTTACTGCTGCTAGTTTTTAGTTAGGTGATTGTGGAAAAGTTATTTAACCACTCTCTTCTGTAAAATTGGAAAAATTACAATACCCATTTTAAGAATTGCTAAGAACAGCAAATGGTAGACAAAGTGATTATATAGTAAGAACTCAGAACATGATAAACATTATTTCAGTGTATTTGTTGGTGAGACTATACTCTAGGTAAGTCCTGCCTCTCAGCCTCTCACATATTTTTCTATCACCTCCTGACCCCAACCTCTAGCAGCCTCCCAGCTTTTCAGAGCTCTCTCCTTCAGTACCATTATCTGCTTCCTCTGCTTATAGATCCCATCTAGTTCTTCCAGAATTTTAGACCCTTCACCAAAGTGTCCCTGCCAGCTCATTAAGTGTGCTGCAGTCCAGTCACCTTCTCCCCTACACCACCCCATTCTGGCAGTTCTACTCTCCTTTACTCTGATGCAGGATGGCCTGGAATGGCAGGAAATGGATTGTAGTTCTAAGACTAAGACTGTGGCTGGGGTGTGTTTGAATTTTTGTTTTTTTTGTTAATTGCTGGTCTAGACTCAGAGTAACATAGTACACTGAAATTTCAATTCATGGACTGTCTCCACCAATTTGTAGTTGCATGATCCATCTAGACACTTAATTTCTTGGGAGCACTTGATACCTACTTTATGGGTGCAGAGAACTAAGCTAAGGTAGTAAGACAATTGTTTTTGAGGAGAAAAAAAAATCTCAAATTATCAAGGAAAGAAAATATTAGGTAAGAACTGCATTTACAATTAAGAGCCCACAGATTAGAATGATGGCTAGTTAACTTTATAAAAACAAAGCATATGCCACGTACCTGGGAAATTTAGAAGTAATAACCCAGTATCTTATTTTTTGAGATATTAAGAGGTTGGGGAGGAAAGTAGCACTTTCCCCTGGTTTTCCACCTACCTCTGCAAAAACGAAGGGTGCATCAAACTGGAAGCAAACATGACCATGCTTAATGGCTTGAACAGAGGCTGGGCCACACCGATACATTCCTGCATCACACAGAGGAAGAAGAGTATAAGTTTGTCGTCTTCAGTTTTGTCTAGATACAGGACAGGTCACAGCACTGAAGTGACGAGTGTTTTTCAACTTCATTATTGATTTAGCCAAAAAGCTTTCCATGGCCAGGGAGGGCAGATGATGATATATAATCAAGAGGATTTTGTTGGAAATGACTTCTCAAACCAAAATTTGAAGCCATGAAAAAAAAAATGCATGACATCACTATTCTTTGCATCTGTTCTTCCACCTACAAACCTACAAGTGTGGGTACCAAGCTGTTGGCTAATGCAATATTTATCCTTTTACAGTCGGAGTCTGTAATGTGGGAAATGGTGATGTGTCCTCAGTGGTTATGTTGTTTGTTGTTTTGATTTTTATTTTGTGTTTTTGGACACTGAGAACATATGTCAAGTTTAACTGCAGAATTTAGACACTAACCACACACATTGACCAATGTCCAACATGCATTCAGGAAGTCAGTAGGCCCATGTTTACATTAACAAAGTTCTTTAAATTTTACCCAGGTAACTTTAGTTAATAAGAGATTAATTGCCATTAGTCACCTCTGAAGTCTCTCATGATATATAATCCAGAACACCAGAAAGTGTTGGACTTTCTCTCTTAAAATACACTAAGTTTCTCTTATGAATACGTAATGAATGTTTATGTATATGTGTATGTATACACACACTAATATCTCATATCAATACCTGAGGAAATAAACATAATGTCTCCAGGCCACTGTGTTTTATCATCATATTGAAGATAAATGGAGGCTTATAATATGACTTTATAAAAATCCAGAGGAGGTCATAGCTGCCATTCACTGCTTAATATAGTTTTCAAATTAGATGACAAATACCCACATACTCAGTTTAAAAAAAAAAAACACACACAACATATAAATAAATCAGGTATTAAAATTGGTATTTCAAATGTCAGTTTAAAGGATGATCTGTACAGGGTACAGCCATAAAGGGGGCTGCTCCCTCGCCCATCACTCAGTGTATGTTTGTGGGGAACCTGGTGCTAAACCATTCATAGGCAACTTGCTTCTGCATTAGGGTTTCATAGGTAGCAGAGCAGCTTCCTTGCTGCAATCTATTGAAAGTCAGCCCTTGACACAAGGGTTTGAGAAAATAAAAAGGATAAAAAATTTTAAAATTAAGGATAATCTGTAATTATTTTTTTGAGTCCTTTATTTTCTCTACTGCCTTATATCAGGGAGGGCTGAAGTACATTTTATAGCCTAATAAAAATGCTTACACAGATATTTTTTCTCCTATCTTCAAAACTGCTTATCAAAGCAAGAGCAGATGAATTATATATGTTGAGCTTTATGCTCTTTTTCTAAAAGTTATAAAATAATCAGGGTAAAGCCAACCATTGAAATGAAATTAAATCTAATCGGCAGGTAGTTAATACTATACATGTGCCCAAAAAGCACGCTTCTGATGTTCCCACTGGGAGTGCTTCCCACACATCAAGTGCAATCATAAAAGCAAAATGAAGATCGGCAATTAAACAGTTCCCCTGAGGAAAGATGCAGTTTTACCATCACTGTTTTCCTGCGGAGTACTGTCCACGGCTTGCCAACCACCAAATCCAACAGGAAGATCAGGCCTTGTCATCCAGGCTTCATTCCAGCAATGGTAGTTCCTTAGAAAACAGTACTCCAGTGAGATTAAACTTCCGACCACATTCAATGTTCCAAAAAGTGACAAAAAATTCCTGAGGCTATGCCAGAGATATCTTGCAGCTCTAGGCTCAAGTTTGCTGGGCAGATACATTTCCATTGACACAGCTGGGGGCACTCACATGAGTGAACATTGCTCTTCTCCTGCTAATATCAGCTTCAAGGACACATAGAGATATTCTAATGAGTGCATTACACAGTTTTGATTTTAGCCATTCTCTGCTACCTAATGAAACAGAACTTATTACATGATAAAAGGGTAGGGAAGAAAAGTTAATCAAAACCAATATATATATATGTATGTCTTTGAATTACTTTTGTATTTACATATATTAGATTTATAAAAAGCATATCCTTTGTAATAATTAAGAAATGAAATGCTGTTTGTATGGACTTAAATGATTGCCATTAAGACTAGAACATTAACTTCTGACTATAATTGTCTACAATTTGTGACAAATTTTCATCTGGTGTTCAATAAGAAGGAAGGTTGTCAGGGTGAGTGTCTCTTTATCCTTTATCAGAGGTGGGCAACCCATGAGCTGAGAGACATGCAAAACTTTTCTCATGACCCTCAAGTCAAGAGCCTGGAATAAAATGTCATTATGAATTGTATTATTATGTCCTTGGAAAGACCTGAAATTATATGACAGTACAGAAATAAATGAGAGCACATTAACCTGTCCACACTACAGAAAATATTCATATAGTAATAACAATTTAATGGTAGTTATAACAGTCTTTGTTTATAGCACTGATGAATTTCAGATCTAACTAACATTCATCCTTTCCCTAAATGTCCTTCAGTGTCAGTAATTCGTTCATGTTTCCATCTCTCTCTGAGTTCAGCTCATCTTTGATTGGCTCAATTCAAAGTTACTTATTTAACTATGTACCCATTTTGTGCCAAGTACCATGCTAGATGCTGGAGATTCAACAAAGATCAAGACAAAAGTTTTTGCCCATAAAGAGCTCACATTCTAGGAGGAATGACAAACATGTAAACCAATTGTTCAAACATTTCATAAATTTGCTGTGAGGCTTGAACAAAATAATACATGTTAAGCACTTAGAGCAGCATATGGCATGTGATAGTGCTCAAAAATGGTAACTCTCAGACTTTTAAAAATAATTAATTGAAGTGATGCATGACAGAATGAAAATTCATCTGGGTTGCAATGGGGTCTCAATGGGAAATTCTCAGGGCATGAGGGGAGGCTTCACAGCAGAATTGATATTTGAACTGAGTCCTGAAAAATAAGTAGGAGTTTAGCAGGTCAATAAAGGACAAAGGATGAAGTTGTGGAGGCATGAAATAGCCAACACAGTGTGTCTGGGGAACTGTAGGCTGTTGTTTGGGCTGTAGTAAGTTTTCATATTTGTATGCATGAGAAAAGAGGGATGGCAGGTAATGGGTGGGCAGCAAATCACAAAACTGACAAATACACATCACTCTTAACTGTATGTCAGGTACCCTTCTAAAACCTTTCTGTATATTAACACATCTGCTGTTCCCAGAGCCCTATCAGAAGGGTACTATTATTATTATCCTCATTTATAAGGTAAATTGAAACACAGAGAGATTAAAAGTCTTGCCTGAGGTCACACAGTTAGTAAGTGATAGAGCTCCAGGGTCTGTGCTCTTAAACACTGAGTTAAGCTATAGATCAGGAAGAGATTGTGAGATCTTTTGATCCCAAATTAAATATTTGGGCTTTCTTTTGGGGCAAGTTAAATGTGCAATTCTGTACTTGTGGAAGGTGTGAGGAGAGGCAGTACAGGAGATCGAGCTGAGTTACCCCCCACCCACCAAAATACTGCAGTAGTTTCCAATGGATCAAAAAGGTGTTCACCACGGAATTGTTCATCACTGTGGAGAGAGAAATGAGCCATTGGGAAGTAAAACTGATGGCTTATGGAGATGTGAGAGAACCAGATGATTTGAGGAAGACTTTTGAGTTAGCAGGGAGTGTGATGGTTCCATTTACCAAGACCAATGAAGGAGGAAGAGAAGAAGATTTGTATTGGAGAGAGAAGTGTTGGGTGGGTGGAAAGTTCGTTTTGAACATGATGAACTTGTGTGTCTGTGACAAATACAGGAGATGAAAACCCATGTATTTTTATATACACATGTAACACAAGATTTAATGAGGAAGAAGTCTCTGGCATCCTTACTGATGATGGAGGAAAGTGGGAGCAAGAGCCAAATGAGGAGTGAATGGGAAGGGGAAGATACAGTGTAGATTTCTCCTTCAAGAGCAATCTAGGTTGTGATGGGAGGAAGAGAAGATAGGGCGGTGGCTGGAAAGTAATGCAATGCAAGGAAGATTGTTTAGATTATTTTTACATTAGGAGAGATTGTTATGGTTATAGAGGAAAAACCAGTGGAGTGAAGTGGGAATGAAGAGAGAATAAAGAGAGAGATGCTCCAATACCAACAATGCAAGAAGATGAGGTCAAGAGAAGCACCATAGACAGGTGTTGGGAGTGAGGCATTGTCTGCGGTGGGAGGGAGGTGCAGATGTAGATCAGGATCAAAGTGTGGAGGTATTGGGGCGGGAACATGAGGTTGGTTTCCACTTGAGAGTCTCTATCTTTGCTCTGAAGCTGGCAGAAAGGTAACCATATTAAACAATGACTACTAGCCTCCCTTTAAAATAGAGAAGGTTGTACCATCAGGCAGAGATACAGAAAACACAGCAATGAAGCATTTGAATTCCAAATGGACACAGTCCTGCTTCCTACACAACTTGTGGTTGTTTAGCAATGCTGGCTTTCACTGTTACACCACCACCCTAAATTAATAGGTCCCAGAATCTCCTTATTTAAATTCAGATATCTTGGGCAAGGTTAGCCTTGAACAAGATAAACGAGCTTTGCATTTAAGATCTCAGATTAAAATATGTATTTGAGGATAACATTTCTTTTCAAATGACCAGAAGATGGGGAAAGTTTTCTTTTTTTTTTTTTATTATGATATTTAATTAGTTACTTGTGATCTCTTCCACTTTCACCTATGACTGAGACCTTATCTGTGTATTTAGTGTGGGAGAGTTTAATAAGAGGGTCAGGAACTCGTAGGCAGTGGGTGAGGTGGACAGAACTATAAGCTGTCTACTTCACCCACTGCCTACAAGTTCGAGTGGGGTTGGGCCTTAGTCAACATGTGGAAAGCCAATGACCAGGCTCCCAGAATGGCCATGAGCAGAGGGAGAGGATGTTACCTCCAAAGCCAAGGGACTTTCTTCCATCATGTCATTCTCTGTTCAGGAATGACCAGTGGAAAATGTGTTCTAGGCCACCCCTGCCACAAGAGTTTCCTTTTGGCTGGTTGTTAAGTATTTCTGGTTATACATACTTGTTGTTTATATTCAATTTCCCTCATGAAAGAGGCTAATAATTATAGACATTTCTGAATTCTATATACTTACTCTCCAGATTGGGAAATATATATGTTTCCTGAAAGGTTATTTCTTGTTTTAAAGCTTCTTTATCTAGATCCTTAACAATTGTTCTGTTTTCATCTTGCGGTTTCGTCATGCATGTGTAGAGTGTATAGATTCACTTTTGGGGCTCTGTTTTGTTCACCATCACATTTGCAGCATTAGAGCTGGCTCTTTGGAGGTGCTCACAAAGTATTGGTGATTAAAAGGTGAGGACATCTCCTAGCAAGGCAGGTGTAATTAAATCTTTGTAAGATTCATGGTTTAATATTTTCTCAGAGCCTTCATTTGAAACCTGACTTCCCATTATACTATCAAAATGTGCAGTGTCCACTTAAAGTTAAAAAAAAAATTATAAACCTTCAAAGTGATCTAATTTCCTTGTTGCCTCTTTCTAAAGAAGCAGTGTAGAAATTAAAATAATGCCCCCATTTCATTGAGAGTTATTTAATCAAGTTGAAAATAACTTTTTGTGGGGTTGATAATGATGGAGATGACAAGTGAGGAACACATTTTTGCTTTATGTTACTTTCTTCATGCTTCTTTCAGTGACAGTGATTTCTGGAATTTATTTCAAAGATGCTAATAATTTAATAGTATTTGGTACAAAGTACCCAGAAAATCTTCACCAAAGTTAGAGCTTCACTAGAAAAACAGCACCATGCACTGCTTGGAAACCCTTAAAGGGATGTTACAGCATTGGTTTAGTTTATACTTTAATTCAGCAAACCTCTTTCTTTGGAATTTGCACACAGGAAATGATCACAAAAATTCAATGACAAGTACATAAGACTGCATAATCTAATCTGGTGAGCCCTTTAAATGTGGGTCTAGAGGTCAGGAACAGAGCAAACTGAAGATTCAAAGCTGGCCTTAAAGAAGATGGATGCTTCCATGAGGTTTACAGCTGCAAGGAACTGAGTTCAAAGAATGAGCCCTGAGCACCAGATGGGGCAACAGTCCTAGTTAATATTTTGGTTGCTGTCATTGGAAAGGACCCAGTGCCCAAACTCTTGACTCACAGAAACAGTTTGATAATAAATTTGTGTTTTAAAATGCTAAACTTTTGGTAATTTATTATGCAATGATAAAAATGAATATTATATACCAAGAGACATATTAAAGAATGCTTAGCAAAATGCTGAAAATGTTGAGTAGTTAGAAAGTAGATGACTCTTACTTTTGTGCTTATTTCCTGCAATGTTTGAAATTTTTATAATAAGCATGTACTATACCTCCTTTTCCCCAAATTAAGAAGACTATATTTTTAAAAAAAATTAAAATAAGGTAGAGCACAGTTCAAAATCTTTCCTGGTTCTAACAGCTGGATAAGGTCACATTTAGAGTTGTAAGAGCCCATGCAAGGTGGAGAAGTGGACAGAGAACACAGCTGAGGCCATGATAGGCTTCAGGGTTCTGTGTACTATACATTCACAGAAAAGAAAGTGGATAACTTGAACAAGGAGTTCTTCACTGCCTTTAAATTAGCTAACTGCTTAAACACTCCATGGGGTTATTTC